GTGTTATATTTAATGTATGTAATGTTATGTAAATATAAATTAGATATATTTATTGAAAAAAAAAAATGTTTTAAATTAAAACTATAGGCTCCACTTCCATGTATGATCAAAGTGACAAGGCAGTTCCTTGAACTTGGCATTTTAAATAAATTGCAATTTATGTATAAAACCATTTTTTATTTATTTTTTATTTAGTACCATTGCAAAGACAATCTCTATTTATTCAACATATATAATGAATGTGAGTGTTAGGTCAACGTCATGTATTTTGGTGTCTGCAAAAGTAAGTGACAGTACTTCCACCTTTTCTGTAGAACGACCCAGGGGGGTCCGGGGGCATGCTCCCCTGGTAAGATATTTTTTTAATTTTGGAGTTAAATGCATCAATCTGGTGCATTTTGAGGGGAAAATAAAGAGACCTATGGAAGATCTATGGAAACACCCATATGAAACAGATGCCACATCATGTAGACAGACAGCGCAGCGTTCCCAGATAGCAAAAAGTCATTGAATCAACATTGAGATATTGTCACGCTGAAGATTTTGTTCAACATTGATGTCAGACATTGAAACAACAGTGAATGTGCTCGCTATGATCAGCATTGAAAAAACATTGAATTTTCAACCAATCCCAACAATGAATCAACCTTGATTCAATTACGATATGATCAACATTGAAAGAATGTAGAATTGGATCAACATTGATTCAACTATATAATGCGTTGCATTATACATTGAAACAATGTTATTATCAGATTAGAAAAAGTAATTGAATCAACATTGTGATATTGTCACGCTGAAGATTGCAATCAACATTGAAAATAAACTAAAATGAACAAACAAAAAAAGAGCCCATTATTTATTCAGTTATTTATTCAGATTTAATGATATGAACATCTTGTAACATCTTTTGTCCACAAGCTTACATTTCTTAATTTTTTTTAACATTTTGTAACATCTTTTGTACACAAAACACTCTCTCTTAAGGTCCCATGTCATGCTTTTCTGTGCGTATAACTTACGTTATAGCATACATTATTACGAAGTTATNTTGCATTATACATTGAAACAATGTTATTATCAGATTGCAAAAAGTCATTGAATCAACATTGAGATATTGTCACGCTGAAGATTGCAATCAACATTGAAAATAAACTAAAATGAACAAACAAAAAAAGAGCCCATTATTTATTCAGTTATTTATTCAGATTTAATGATATGAACATCTTGTAACATCTTTTGTCCACAAGCTTACATTTCTTAATTTTTTTTAACATTTTGTAACATCTTTTGTACACAAAACACTCTCTCTTAAGGTCCCATGTCATGCTTTTCTGGTTATTACCCGTCCCCTTGTGTGTTATGTAGCTTTTTCTACATGTAAACGGTCTGCAGAGTCACAACCCCTCAAAGTACACCCTTTAGCGAGTACAACTCTAACACAGAAAATACCTGTCTGTGCTGCCTTGTTGGACATTTCTCTTTTTCCATTGTTTACTTCCTGAGTAAAGTGACGTAACGGATTTCCACACACAGCCTGGCTGTGAGAGTGTGTGTGTGTGTGCTCAGGCTGAGTTCCTCTGTGTCTCGCAGACCTCATGCCATCATCATCTTCTGTTTAAAGCAGCTTTGCTAGACGTTGATAACATGCATTCTTCACATGCTGAAGATATGGATTTGAAAAAATGCACGTTTTGCAACATAACACACGTTAAGGACATTTCTTGACATAATAAACATCTAGCAAAGCTGCTTTAAACAGAAAATTATGATGGCCTTTGAACACAGATTCTGAGGATCGTTTCTGCTTCTGCTTTTATCCATCAGGTCAAAATAGGATTCACACACCTAACATCATTGTGATATATCAGGCCTCAGCCTCTTCAGCACATCAAAATCAAAGAATTTAAGAATAAACAAATATAACAATTACAATCCAGTGCCTCTTGTCAACTGGCAATTCACAATTCCACACATTTCAATTTCACAGGCAAATGGGACTTCATGCTTAAAAGGACTGCATGTGCAAGCATGTACATACAGTACATTGAAGTTTTACCTGATCACTAACAATGAACTTGAACAGTAGAAATACTGGATATGCCCCTCTTTTGAACTGGCAACTTACACATCCACACATTCTTTGATTCTCTATTTCAGAAGAGAACTTATATGCTTAAAATGAAATTAATGCTGTGAGGTCTTACATGAGCAATAACCACAATGCACTAGAACAGGCGAAATATAGATTAAAGTCATATCTGGCTTCCCCATTAACATTCACAGCAAAAGCTTTGTTTTCCGAGACCTTATGCGCTGCGAGCATCGAGAGCCAAGCTCGTAAAAGATAGTCTGAATGGTTTCAAAGGTATACCTGATCTCCTTTGGATAATCCATGTTCAGTGCATAAAGTAGGCCGAAGAGGTATGCAAAGGCAGTAGAGAGGTCTGGTCGGTCATGCAGTACAATGGTCCCTTCCAACACAACAGCCACGTCTCGCACATTTGGCGATATGGCGGCATCATCTTCTTCAATGACGGTGAGGATGGCCACAGACACACCTCTGAGCAATCATTCTTCATGGTCAGTTTCCTGAGGAAAAGTAAAATATGCATGAATGAATGCTATGGAAAACTAAACGACAAAATACATATCCACTGATTCTAACTTTAGCACCAAGCTACAAAGTCTTAACATTCAGCTTGTGGAAGTTATAATTGCAACTCAACAGCACGGCGGCTATCACCCACCAACCTTGTTGTGCCGAGTTCTATAAAGAAGTATTTTCTGACAAAGAACACCAGACAACAATGGCCAGCTGTATCGGGTTGGCTGTTTCTCAAACAGCGCTGATATTTATTTTTAATTTTGGGTGAACTCATCGCGCTCGGGTTCATGAGGTGAAAACATCTCTGGGCTCAAAATAATCTTAAATCTTACACAAAGTGTATTATGCATAAATGATTAGCATAAGCTATAAGGTCATAAAATGTTTAAGCTACATTAAGCAATATTACTTGTATTGTGTACGTTTATTTCCTACAGTTAGTGTTACTTACCAAACACTCCAGAAGAAACTTGGTTGTGTCATCTCGGCAGGCCTCATCCGAGAAAACGGACTGGAGACGTCTAGGACAACCGTTTTGAGGACAGGCGTATGTGGTTTGTGTCGCGTCAGTTCACCGTGGTAATGCAAAGTAGGACACGAAACCAAAGAGAGGTAGTTAGCGTTGTGAATAACAAATCCAAGTCCTCGAGGCAGCTTGTGGGTGAACTGTCGTACAGGAGAACTGGGACGCATTTACTCTCCTCGTCACCATCTTCTGGCTCATCGTTAACTTTGTGTGCAAGCAAAGAGTATGTGTTCACAGAATCTATGGTATGATAGTTGATTCTATAGAGAATTTCTTGCGGTAGCTTATGACAGGGGACAATGTTGTCATACACCACAAAGTCAAGTTTTCAGTTGGGATAGAGAAGGATGAGAGAAACTAACCTGTGAAATCGAATATATCGTAATTTGAATTCAATACTGTCACCCGAACGTGTATTGATACAGAAGTCAATACATACCGCATAGAGTGTACTCAAGCTCCCCATGTGCAATACCTCATTTTCAGCGAACCATGAATGTTGAAGACCGAGTTGAGTTGATCAACCACTAACATACTTTGCGGGCTCAGAGGAGTCACATTTAAGTTGAGCTTGAAGGTCCCCCCTCCCGCCCTCACGACAGACGGAGTGGTCTCTGTCGATCCATAACGGTAACGTCTGCTCCTGTCTCTCTCTCCTTTTCTCTCGCAAGGCAAATAATATGCTGCACACACATATGTCGTAAGTGGACAAGAGCCCACGTGATTGTTTGGGACTTGAAGAACAGCATAAACGCGTGTATTACGTAGCATTTGGACTCGGGATAAGTAACCTTTTCGAAGTTGTTCTATAAGTCCAGACCATGCCGTATTACGTGAACAACTTCTGAAGTTCACTGCCATGCGTAAAGTCTAACAAACGGAAAAGTGTACGTAACAGATAATCAGAACAATACTAAAAAGAACCAAGGAGATCAATCTATACACGTTTTGGGGGTACTAAATTTAATATCACTGTAAATTAGGTTTATTATAACTCCTCTTAATGTAGACATTATTGCATACAAACCTACAGAACACACATATCTAACTCTAACTTCACACATACCAGACAAAAACGTCATCATAATCATCACCATTGAATGTTAACAGTCAGGAATAACTTTCAGAACGCGCGTTTGTTATCAATTGTTAATTTGTCCGTGTCTGTAGGTGTACACCAATTGTTTTTTTATTAAAACTCGTGTAATTTTCAATCCACGATATTTCAAATACTACACAAATATATATTTCACAGAGATTCAATTAGTTTATGAATGTTCGTTGAGAAAGTATATGTAAATGTTG